AATCAAATCAGCCAAATGAGTTGTCTCACCATAAAATGTAATATTTTGTTTCCCACACTGGTCATTCTTTTTTACTTCATCCTTACTTGGGGCTCTCTATTTGCCATGGGGCTTTAACCAGCTGCTGAGTTTGTTTGTAGGCAGGTGCCTACAAAAGGGTTTTTTTGTTTTTTTATGCCAGCTCATGTTCTGCAGTTATCTGGGTCAAATCTGCTGTCATTCCTGTGAAACTGTTACAAAGTAGATGTACGGTGAATCTGGAAGGATTGATTGGCAGATTTTCCCATTAATTTTCTATAAATCCACATAAAAAGGGGCCCCAGGGAAGAGCTGCTGGAAACGATGTCAAAATGTAGGCATATATTCTGCTGGACTGCGCCCCCAGCTGGAAGGCGCAGGCTAGGTTCCCTGAGGGACTGAGGACCTGAGAACTCTAAACTACCAAGAATGGACTGACATTAAGGTCTCTCTGCTGTTTTTCAGGTATGATAACCCTATGGACACTAAAGCAGGAATTCATGTGAGGAGCTGCCTGATACAAACTGTTCCTGTGTGTTGCTTTTCTTCAGTAAAGTCATTGTTAACTATTTAATGCCTGGTCTGAAGTCTCTTAAGTGATGTATTGCATGTCTCATCTAAAGAACAGAGCTTGTAACATGGGGACTGTAGGGTTAGAGTAGATACATTACACTTTAGTCCGGCATATAGTTTGCTGCCTAGTGCAGGCTATATTGCCATTGCTAGGGACAACTGTATATGTATCATAGCTTAAGGCAACCAACCAGCCAGGGAATGGGTGACGGTTACTGTGGAAAAGAAGATCACAGGTGACGCAAACATCTAGCGCATTATCCAAGGTTTATGAAAAATGAAAAAGACAGAAACATACTCACAAAATCAAGTACATGCAAAAGCTTATACTGCCACAATGATGGCAGAGTGTACGACTGGTAGTGCGGTCGGTCCTCTGATGTATTTTGGGGAAATGTCCCTTTCCTCAGAGCTGACGGTTACTCTGGCAGTGAAGGGGGGTTGTGCTCGTCCCCTTCACTAGCAGTCACCTCCCTGCTTTTTGGGACCAGACCTGTGCCACAGAGTATCTAGGGACCTAGGTTGGGAATCAAAGGGGAGATGTAGAGGGGCCCATGATAGAGAGATTCTTTACCTGTATCCATTGGTAACTGTGGACATGTCAGTGGAGTGTGGTGATAGGAATTGGTGGGTTAGTGGGTGCCAGTGCAGGCTCTGCAGCACCAGTTTCTAAATACTGTGCACCTGGGAATTGGTGGTCACCAACTGTGCTGGTGTCTAGTGCGCTTAGTGTTAACAGTGCAGTCAGTTAGTCATGGATTAATAGAGGGTTATTTGTACTCAGAGTGGCTTGCTTCTAAGTCTGCAGTTCTGCCTTAATGCTGATTTTCAAATGAAAGCCAATTCCTGCCTACAACCTAGGCAATTACCGAGTGTAGTTCTATCGTCCCCCACTAGGGTGATTAAGCCCTGTCCACATGTACCTACTATGCTTGTCAGTATCATATTCTGAGTGGTCAGATTGTACATCTTCCCTCTGGCTGAACAAAAAGAACAAATCATCAAGCTTTAAAATGTCGTCTAATTCAAAGGAATTCTAAGAGTAGGTGGTCCAACTGGTTCTACAAAAGTCAATTGCTCAATGATCTTCTCTCAAAGGAACCTGGCTAAAAGTTGTTGGTGAACAGTGCCTGAAGCGAAGGAGCTGCAGGGACTGTTTGGTTATTCTGACAGCTGGCGTTCAAGGGTTATCAGAATATCATGGCTCTGCCTTGGAGATCTGTCTGTCCTCTGTTAGTGTGGATGAAGGAATTTTTGGCTCCCACTGATTCCACTGAACCTAATAGAGACTATATGGAAGTGAGATTTGCAACTGAGCTGTCATTTAAAGTGTAGGGATCCATGCACACAAGCTTAAAAAAATGCTCCTAGCAGCTGTTTCTGAGCATCTGCATTCAGAAAACAATGCTGAAAGCTCAGAAACTCTCCTAAACTCTGCTAACTGATGCTAAGCTCCGGTGCCCAGCATTTTATTTTCCTAAGGGGGAGGTTGCCGGCGCCCTTAACAACCAGTGAATAGATGGTTGTGTCAGAGCCTGGTCCTTCTGCAGTGGGAGGTAATGTCTCTTCTCACTGAGCTATCTGGAATGTTGGACAGCTCCCTTGACAATTCTTGGATAATACTGCCTTGTGCCTTGATTTCTCTTGAACCTTGAACTCCTTGCTCCTCCCATGAACTTCCCTATAAAAGCCATGTCCATGCACTTCCTCGTTGCCAGATTATTGTGCCTTTCAAGCCACTATCCCACTACTGTTCCTGCTGCTATCTACACCTCCGCTACCGACCTTTGGCTTGTTCCTGACCACGATTTTGTCTCATCCTAACCTACTACGATTGATCTGCTACCATTTGTGACCGACCCTTGGCTTGTGACTGACTCTGCTTTTGTCTGATCCCTAACCCGTTGATCCGCTATTGGTTCCCAGTCTGCTCATTCCCTGGTGGGGTGATCCTGAGATCTGCGACCTGGTATTAACACGCAGCTCAATCCATCTCCACCATTAGGAGCTCTGGGGAAGACCGGTTAATACTTAGACCCCGCACCTCAGGTGAGCCTGCATCATTCCCAGGGGGACCCGCTGGTGTACCTATCCTGCTGGTTTCAGGTAAGCCTTTTACTGCTATAGCAACTGGTCTCTGAACCTGACCTTATATCGTGACAGGTTGTTAAGGAGCAGCCCGACAAGGCAGCTGCTACATCCTTAACAGATGACTTATCAGCTGTCAGCAGGATTCCCCATTGACAGCTGAATGTAAACCAAAGAATTCTCGACAATCAGGCCCCCCCCCCCCCCAATCCATACCAGGCCCTTTTGTGTCTGGTATGAATTTTAAGTAGAATGCCAAAATTAAAAAAAATGGGGTAAGGTCCCCCCCAAAATCCATACCAGACCCTTATCTAAGCATGCAGCTCCCCCCTCCAAAGCACCTTGTCCCCATGTTGGCCTCTTCCCCTCAACCTTTGGTGGTGGTTGTGGGGGTCTGTGAATGGGGGGCTTATCGGAATCTGGAAGCCCCCTTTGACAAGGGGGGCCCCCAGATCCTGCCACCCCTCCATGGGAATTTGTATGGAGTACACTGTACCCCTACTCATTCGTCAAAGATAATTGTCAAAAATAAATGAAAATACAGAGACAGCTTTTGACAAATCCTTTATTAAAAAAAAAACACAACAACAATGTCCCCTGAAGTAATTCCAGCTTCAATCACATTGAACACCACCACCGTTGACCCCGACAAAATAAAGAGCTCTGTACCCGACCCTGGATTCCACCATCTGACAGCTCTACCACCTTCCGCTGTTAAATAAACTAAGGGAAGAGGCAACCGGGTGACATCACTGGGTGACCCCACCCCCTTGTGATGTTATCAAGGGCATGCTGGGTTGATGACATCACTAGGGGGTGGGGATTATTATTTTAATAAAGAATGTGTCAAAACTGGTCTCTGTTTTTTTATTTTTGACACTTTTTTGGTGAACGAGTAGGTGTACAATGTACCCCATACCCATTCACATGGATGGGGCTGGGATCTGGGGGACCCCTTTTTAAAAATAGGATTCTAGATTCTGATAAGCCCCCCACCTGCAGACCCCCACAACTGTTTTTTTTTCCTCAATTTTGAATTGCCGGAAATTCTTTTGTTTACATTCAGCTGTCAGTGTTAAACCCCGTTGACAGCTGAAGCGTCATTAGATATTAAGGAAGCAGCAGCCCACTCCTATAACAACCAGCTATTCACTGGTTGTTAAGGATGCCAGGGGCCGCCCGTTCCTACCAAAAAGCTAGCACTCCTAAATACTAATGCAAATGTTCCTATACAATGCGCTATGAGGAAATTCTACACTAGAAAAATAAAAGTGGCATTGGACTGTCTGTATAAAAAGCTTTGAGTGCAAAGAGACAGAGAGAAAGTGGAAATGTGGGCCAAACCAAAAATGGTACACCATATATGTGGTGCATTAACACAGCAATTGTTGTTTTTTGTCCCCATGTAACTTCGTTTTATTGCCTACAAAACAAAACCATAAAATGTCATAATTTTGTGTTCACATAAAACAATAAAACCACATGCTATATACCAGTCAAAACGCTACTGGCCCCTATTGTGTCTGATTCATAGCATATCCCTTAAAGCATTGGCATCAACAATTCAACATAAATATACACTATATTTCCAAAAGTATTGGTCAGCCTACCTTTCCACGCACATGAATGTTAATGGCATCCCAGTCTTAGTCCGTAGGGTTCAATACTGAGCTGGCCCACCCTTTGCAGCTATAACAGCTTCACTTCTGGGAAGGCCGTCCACAAGGTTTAGGAGCGTGTCTATGGGAATGTTTGCCCATTTTTCCAGAAGCACATTTGTGAGGTCAGGTACTGATGTTGGACGAGAAGGTTTCACTCACAGTCTTCACTTTAATTCATCCCAAAGGTGTTCTGTGGGGTTGAGGTTAGGACTCTGTGCAGGCCAGTCAAGTTCCTCCACCCCAAACTCACTCATCCATGTCTTTATGAACCTTGCTTTGTGCACTGGTGTGCAGTCATGTTGGAAGAGGAAGGGGCCATCCCCAAACTTTTCCCACAAAGTTGGGAGCATGAAATTGTCCAAAATGTATGCTGATGCCTTAAGAGTTCCCTTCATTGGAACCAAGGGGCCAAGCCCAACCCCTGAAAAACAACTCCACATCCTAATTCCCCCGTCCACCAAACGTTAAACTTGGCACAATGCAGTCAGGCAAGTACCATTCTCCTGGCCACTGCCAAACCCAGACACGTCCATCTGATGGCCAGGCAGAGAAGCATGATTGGTCACTACAGAAAATACGTCTCCACTGCTCTAGAGTCTAGTGGCGGCATGCTTTACGCCACTGCATCCGATGCTTTGCATTGCACTTGATAATGTAAGGCTTGCATGCACCTGCTCGGCCATGGAAACCCATTCCATGAAGCTCTCTATGCACTGTTGTTGTGCTGATTTGATGGTCACATGAAGTTTGCAGGTCTTTAGCTATTGACTCTGCAGACAGCTGGCGACTTCTGCTCACTGTGTGCTTCAGCATGCACTGACCCCGCTCTGTCATTTTACGTGGCCTACCACTCGGTGGCTGAGTTGCTGTTGTTCTCAGTTTCTTCCACTTTGTTATAATACCCCTAACAGTTAACCATGGAATATTTTAGTAGCAAGGAAATTTCATGGATGGACATATTGCACAGGTGGCAACCTATCACAGTACCACACTTGATTTCACTGAGCTCCTCAGTGCGACCTATTCCTTCACAAATGCTTGTATAAGCAGTCTGCATGCCTAGGTGCTTGATTTTATACACCTGTGTCCATTGAGGTGACACTTGAATCCAATTATTTGGACGGGACATCCCAATACTTTTGGCAATATAGTGTACATACACATACTGTATATATTCTTCTGCCATCATTCACATACTCAATCTTCGATGTAAGCATACAAGGATTCGCACTTTGTCCACATTTGCATCTGTCTTTTGCATTTTTGGCTGCCCACTTCTTGTGTCATCATGGACATCTGCCCGCCCCTTCTTAAACCACCTTTGCCATTCAAAAACACTTGATTTCTTCATGGAATGTTCATCATAAAATTGTTGTAAAAGAGCTAAAGTTTCACCTGCAACTTTTTGCCAATTTTCACAAAAAATTTGATGTTAATCCACAGCTGTCCTCATTTTCTACCAACAACACAACGCACACAAGTTATTTCTTTTACTGCTCCGTAAAGTCTGGGTCAACTGGTCTACGACCCAGGCGAGTGCAAGTTAGAACATGTCAGAACATGCTCAAGCATGAATGCAGGGAGAAACAGGAAGTGAGGAAATTCACTCCTGTAAGAGGTATCATGAGAAAAAGGTGCCTCCACTGAAGCTTTATCACCAATCCTTGTTTCCACGATGACCAAAAATGTTCAAAATCCAATTGTCACAGGGAGAGAAAGTGAGGTGAAATCTTATGAACTGGGGCACAGACAGCAAAAAAAATCATTATGGGGGTGTTAACCCTTCCCTATTTTATCCAAAAAACTAAGCACAAACCTACAGACCCTATCTTGTTCGTAACCCAGGGACTCCTGTACATTAATGACTGAAGGATAGGAGACTGCATGTGCTACTTATGTAGCACTCCTCTAGTTAGCCAGGGAGAAATAGCTAGGTTTTTTTTAGTTAGAGGCTGGATAGCAGCCTGGTTTGAGTCAGCCAGATAACTTCAGGTCAGGTCTGAGGGCTCTGCAAGTCAGTTCCCCGATACCTCCCCATGCTCTAGACCAGGGGTGGGCAAACTTTTTGACTTGAGGGCCGCAATGGGTTCATATATTGGACCCGGGGGCCGGACCAAGAGTAGATGAATGATGTGTATGTGTCATCCATAGTAAGTATAGTAATATTCCCCCATAGTAAGCATAGTAATTAATCCCCCATATAGTAATTCATCCCCCATAGTAATTCATCCCCCATATAGTAATTCATCCCCCATATAGCAATTCGTCCCCCATATAGCAATTCGTCCCCCATATAGCAATTCATCCCCCATATAGTAATTCATCCCCCATATAGTAATTCATCCCCCATAGTAATTCATCCCCCACATAGTAATTCATCCCCCATATAGTAATTCATCCCCCACATAGTAATTCATCCCCCACATAGTAATTCATCCCCCATATTAATTCATCCCCCATATAGTAATTCATCCCCCATATAGTAAGTCCCCCATATAGTAAGTCCCCCATATATAGTAATTCATTCCCCATATAGTAAGTCCCCCATATAGTAATTCATTCCCCATATAGTAAGTCCCCATATAGTAATTCATTCCCCATATAGTAAGTCCCCCATATAGTAATTCATTCCCCATAAAGTAAGTCCCCCATATAGTAATTCATTCCCCATATAGTAAGTCCCCCATATAGTAATTCATTCCCCATAAAGTAAGTCCCCCATATAGTAATTCATTCCCCATAAAGTAAGTCCCCCATATAGTAATTCATTCCCCATATAGTAAGTCCCCCATATAGTAATTCATTCCCCATATAGTAAGTCCCCCATATAGTAATTCATTCCCCATATAGTAAGTCCCCCATATAGTAAGTCCTCCATATAGTAATTCATTCCCCATATAGTAAGTCCCCCATATAGTAATTCATTCCCCATATAGTAAGACCCCCATATAGTAATTCATCCCCCATATAGTAAGTCCCCCATATAGTAATTCATTCCCCATATAGTAAGTCCCCCCTATAGTAATTCATTCCCCATATAGTAAGTCCTCCATATAGTAATTCATTCCCCATATAGTAAGTCCCCCATATAGTAATTCATTCCCCATATAGTAAGTCCCCCATATAGTAATTCATTCCCCATATAGTAAGTCCCCCATATAGTAAGTCCCCCCTGTGTCAATTCACTTACCTTTGCTCCTCCGCGCGTTCCTCTCGTATTCCCGCGCCGTTCTGGTCTTCAGGGAGGACTGTGAGAGAAGAGTTCGTCACGCTGCCCCGCCTACATCCTGGCTGCCCCGCCTACATCCTGACAGCTGCAGAGTCCTGACGCCCGAGAGGAGGGAGGGGGCGGCCATCCTAGAGGGAGGGCGGCCATCCGAGAGGAGGGGAGGGGAGAGGAGGAGAGGAGGTCGCCCGCCCGCCCGAGAGGAGGGAGGGGAGCGGGCGCCCGGCACACAGGAGAGCCGCATCTATTGTAAAGAGCCGCGGCTTGCCGACCACTGGCCTTGCGGGAGCCTAGCTCCGCGGGCCGGATTAAAAGGTCCGCCGGGCCGTATACGGCCCGCGGCCGTAGTTTGCCCATTGCTGCTCTAGACGCTAGAGAAGTTTCTAGAAGGCAGTGTGTGGGGGTCAGGAGGGGCTGATCTGCATACTCAGGGGACACTGATCAATCCCCAAGCAGGAGACTTGGCATGGGGTCAGGGAACTCCTAAGTATGGGAAAGCCTGTGTTAGCAACCACCTGGCGGTACCTCTAGCAGCCCACAGGACAGGATTCCCCAGAGCGCGGAGTCTAAGCCCCAGCCTGCTTGTTCACCAGGGCCCCTGATGGTGGGGATGGACTTGGAGCAGACTGGAACCAGGTCGCGGCCCCTGAGTACACCCGTCTGTGGTAGAGGAATCCGCCGGGGGTCTGTGCAGGTGGAGAGCCTGACGTGAAGAGGAAGAAGGTGGAAGCAGGGATGGCTGGATCCGTGCCGGATGGATGGACGGATGAGTGTGGTCAGATGGGCCAGGTCGGTAACAGAGAGGTCAGCGTAGTACAAGGCAGCAGGCAGAAGAATAGTCAGGTCACACGCCGGTGTCGGTACCAGTAGTTCAGATCAGGTAGGGATATCCAAAGAGAGGTCAAACTTAGCCAGGTGTCAGAGCAGGAGATGTCAGCAGAGGTCAGGTCCAGGCAGGTCAGCAACGAATCTTCAGCAACAGAATACAGGAACACAGGAATCAGATCAGACCATACGGCAACTTGTGTCTGTGCAGGGCTGGTTTAAGTAGCCCGCCCTGCACCTGACAGTCGCAGCCTAGGTCCTAGTGCCTGCCCAGCACCGTCATAGGCGACGAGTGCGCCTGGGTCCTAGTGCCCTGCTACCTGCATGTCTTGACAGACACCTACGCATGTGCAGACCCATGCGTCGCGATGGTCCCTGACAGCCTGACCAGGAAGTAGTAGTGTTGGGTGGAAGATGGAGTGAGGGGCTGGAGTGTGGTGCCTGGGAGGGGGCCCAGGGAGGGGCCTACCTACAGGAATGGTGCTGGACAAGAGAATCTGTACCTCAAATGTCCCCTGAGAGAGGATAGCCTGGGAAGCAGAGAAGGAGCCAGCCCAGCATAAGGCCTAAAGGCAGCCACCAACCCAACAAGCTTACAGGAGAGGCAGAGTGAGTAATTCTTCAACCCCTGGGCTAGATAAAGAGTTAGGGCAGTCAGATGGAGAAGTCAACTAGCTCCTCATCTCGGGCTGCTTTTTGGGTCTCCTTGCCCAATGATTCGCTGAGGCAGCTGGGTGAAGGGGAGGATTCATTTGGGGTCTGAGGAGGCACACCAAGACTGCTAAAGAGCTCTTCAAAAAGAAACCTCTTTTGTCTATGGACTTGTACATAGTTGCTAAGGAGTTGTCCTCACAGTTCACAGTTCCTTTGGGCATCCTATGCACCCATCAACTTCATCCAAGTTCAATACCCTTTAATAAAACTACAAAATAAACAAGATCCATGTCTGTTTACTGTCTCCAGTGTGCAACAGTGGAAGAAAATAAATGTTGTTTGGCTGTGCAAGGCCATAGGGGAACCCAAAACTGAGAGACTCCTAAGGGGGTAGTACTACACTTACCTGCTCTGCGCAGTGGTTTTTCACAGAGCAGCCCTGAACCTCTTCTTCTCTGGTCCCCTGCCAGTGCTCCAGGCCCATCCCTCCTGCCTAGTGTCCCCATAGTAAGCAGCTTCCTATGGGGGCACCCGAGCAGGCTCTTTCCCAAGCTGCTGTTCCATGTGTCCATTCAATCATGCTCGGCATGCCCCACTCTCTCCCCATTGGCTTATTGGCTGTGATTGACAGTAGTGGGAACCAATTGTTACTGTTGCTATCTCAGCCAATGAGGAGGGAGAGACCCAGGACAGCCGAGGCTCTCGTATACAGCACTGGATCGAGATGGGGCTCAGGTAAGTATTGGGGGCACTGCTGCACACTGAAGGTGTTTATTCTTATGCATAGAATGCATGAAGGTAAAAAAATATTGAGCCTTTACAACCACTTTAAGGCATTTGAGAGAAAATTCTGTCAAGATATGCTTAGATACAGAGAGGTACATCTCAAAAATATTGATCCAAAAAATGAGAAAACCTTGCCCTTTTTTTCTAAGGCTATAATCACACTCCCACTAGCATGGCACCTTCCTTATACCTGATGTTACCTGTCCAGGTCAAAAGTAGGGAAACAACCAGGAGGAAAACCATCAATTTATTTAGCCCAATCATTATATCCACTCCTGCATATAATTTAACCTGTGGTAGGTTTATTACATGGTAATATTGCCAATAGATCTGTTAATTTTTTACTTCCTGTAATAGGGGCATCTTAAGAATATGGTATTGTTAGATGGACATGTAGTTTTATGTGGTCTTTATAGAGTATGTAAACCATAACAATAAACTTCTCTAAGTTGGTCACCTTGGCCCTTCATCCTTTGTGTTAAAGAGACTTTACCCAGTTTCAATGCCACTCAAAGGGGGAATCTTTCTGTGGCTATACCATCTTGAGGAAATATTGCTTTTACACA